TAAAAAGAATAAATTTCACAGTCCTTTCTTAACATCCATTTTGTTGTTTATTTCATTTTTAAAATAAATGTTTTATTGAGGGCTCTTACAGCTCTTGTAACAATCCATGCATCAATTGTATCAAGCACATTTGTACATATGTTGCCATCATCATTTTCTAGACATTTGCTTTCTATTGAGCCCTTGGTGTCAGCTCCTTTCTGAACTCCCTTTCCCCCTACCCCCTGATCTTTCTTTTGTTAGCAGTACACCGTAGGTAGAAATATGGGAAACTTAAAAAAAAAAGTTATTAGTATTTCTAATCAAATGCTTGAATGATAGACAAGGGATGAGCTTGAGAGATGGATGGTTTGTCTTTAGGGGCTCAAGTTCTTTTGGGACCATTTACTGGGGGTAGGCAGAATAATCCCACCACCCCCATGGTCATGAAGTCCATTAGCGACCATAGGCAGAGTCTGAAGTTGTAAAATCTTTGCAGGAGCCATAGCCTCATCTTCCCGCCAGGGAGTGGCTGATAATTGTGAACCACTGACTTTGTGGTTAGCCACTCAACCCATATCCAGCAGCACCACCAGGGCTCCAGGCTGAGCCCTACAATGTCCATGTTGCACTTGGAACTGGTGACTATGTTGGGTAATGGGGCAGATGGAATTAAGTTTGCCTCAATCAGTCCACCAGTGGGGTCACCATGAGGGAGGGGGCTCCACGTCATTATAAAGGTCCTAAAAGACTGAGGGGCCCTGGTGGCACTGTGGGCTAGGCACATGTCCAGCCCACCAGCGGGAGAAAGATAAGGCTGATGGCACTCTTAGAGATTTACCTTCCTAGGAAGCAGTTCCACTACGTCCTGTAGTGTTGCTGGTGTCAGAACCAACTCCATGGCGGTGGAGCTTAGTTCACAGATGGAAGAGACAGAAAGCAGGTACCCAGAGTGATGGCAGACTAGGATGGATTTTCCTAGCTGCTGCTGGCTTTGAAAGGCCTCAAACCATGGAATGTGGGCTGCCTCTAGAAGCTGTAAAAGACAAACCAAAACCAAGACCAAACACACTGCCATGCAGCAAATGCCAACTCACAGTGACCCTACTGGACAGGGTAGAACTGTCCCTGTGTGTTCCCGAAACGGTACTCTTTACAGGAGTAGAAAGTCTCCACGTTCTCCTGAGGAGTGGATGGTGGTATGGAACTGCTGACCTTGCAGTTCACAATCAAATGCATACACTGTGCCACCATGTGCGGGCACCGCTTTTCATCTAGAGCAGTGTTTTCCCACATGGGTGATACCACCCACTGGGGGATACTGTAACAGTGGGGGCGCAGGCTGCAAATACAGATACCTACACCCTGGATTAGGGGCTATAATACAAACTTTTTAATTGCCAAGTGGGAGATGAGTAATTCTGTTTTAGAAAATGCCAAGTAAGTTTGGGAACCTATGGTCATGCGGATGCAAAACAACCAAGTTGATCACTTACTAGAACTGTGTTCTATCAACTGGACAAGAAGTCCCAAGTGTGGCACAGGCCAATAGTAGTCAGGTTCTGGGGATATTTCAAATGGAACCACATTGCGAGGTGATATAGTTGAACTTTTTTTTAATATGGAATTTTGTTTTGTGTCTGGATACAAATTATATAGAAATAATATTTGATTCATATATGGATATACTGTTTAGAGAAATCTTATGTCAGATTTACTCAAGCAAATATTTGTTACAAAGCAGGACATGTGGTATACACTGTATTCAAAATGATGCTCAGGAAGAAGAGATAAAAAAAATTATTTTATCCTCCGCCAGCTCACCAAACCCATGGTCTAATGGACATGTTTGGAAGGAGACTGCATTTCAGAAGTGTGCAGTTGAAGTTTGACTTAGAGCATATCTTAATGAAGTGATGATAGTACTAGTATTCCGGGGACTAAGGTTTGAAAAAGTGTCTATATGTACCTAGATCTCAGTTTATATATTAAATCCAAGATGCTTTGTTCTTCTTGTAGTTTTTTTACAGTTATTTTTGTTTTATAAAGTACACTTTTAATTTGGTGTCCCGTTAAAAGAGGAATGTATCACTTTATTAAAGACATTAAGGAATGAACAGAGGCAGAAAAAAGTTTTGGGAAAGGGAACAATCACAATTTCCTTTCAATTACTTGTAGCACACATCTATCCATTCAGCCAGCACTTGGTCACTTTTTTTTTTTTTTTCCTGCTGGGCCCCCCACTTGGTCACTTTTGACTATCATTAATTGTGTGATTTCTCAGGGTTTAATAATCCCATCCTTCATTGTCCTTCTAGTGAACCCCTCTTTTTCCTTTTCTGGGCTAAAATGACCGGTATTGATTACTTAAAGGAAAGTTTTCTGTGCCAGTCACCCCAGCTACATACACACACACACAAACACCACACCACACACACCACTCCTACCCTACATACACATCATACACACAACACACACACACACACACACTACTATACACACAGAGAGGATTTGGTCAACATCTTATTAATTAATGTCCTTTGTTAATATATTAAACTTTAAAAATTTAAATTTTGGTTGTTGAGAACATATACAATAGACCATAAGAACAGTTCAGTGTGGAAGTCAACGTTTAAGAGGTGTGAACAGACATAATCTATGACCACACTGGAAGGAGACCCTTCAGAATTATGCCGATGCTGAGGGGTAAGTGCTGGTTAGCGTTACACCTGTAGTGGTGCAGGCTGTCCAAAGCTAGCCCTGAGGAGGTCAGGATTTTCTCGAATTCCATGCCAACTCTAAAATGTCACAAAACTGCTCTCTACACCCACC